ATTCCAGGAATTCTTTTATTTCTTTCTTCATGTCTCCTTTGACCCACTCATTGTTCAGGAGTGTGTTGTTCAATCGCCATGAGTTCGTGTAGTGACTACAGCTTGGTCCAGTGTTGATTTTGAGCTTTATTGCCCTGTGGTCTGATAGAATGCATGTAATTATTTCAATATTTTTGTATTTGTTGAGGTTTTTTTTTGTGGCCCAATATGTGGTCAGTCTTTGAAAAAGTTCTATGAGGTGTTGAGTAGAAAATGTATTCTTTGGTGTTTGGGTGGAATAATCGAAAGATGTCTGTTAGGTCCATTTGCTGTAAGGTATCATTTAATTCAGACGTCTCTCTGTTTATTCTTTGTCCAGTTGACCTGTCTAATGGAGACAATGGGTATTGAAGTTCCCTACTATTACTGAGTTGGGGTTAATCTGTATCTTAAAGTTCTATAGTGTTGTTTTTATGAATTTGGGTGCACCAGAATTTGGTGCATATATGCTAAGGATTTTAATATCTTCTCGGTTAACTGTTCCTTTGATCAGAATGAAGTGACCCTCCTTATCTCTTCCGATTAGTTTTACTTTGAAGTTTTTTTTTCAGATATTAGAATTGCAACCCCTGCTTGTTCCTTAATACCATTTTTGAATATTCTTTTCCATCCTTTTATCTTAAGGTAGTGCCTGTCCTTGAAGGTGAGATGGGTTTCTTGCAGACAGCAAAGACATGTATTTTGTTTCTTAATCCATTCACTTAACCTGTGTCTTTTGACTGGGGAGTTCAGTCCATTGATATTTAAGGTTATTATTGAAAGGGGTGTATTGGTTGCTATCATTTTGATTGTTGTTTTTGTTCTCTGTGTAATTTTGGGTTTCCTAGATTATATCTTTGTTTATTTTCTTTCATTGTCCCTAGGGTATAGTTGTTTCTCTGCTCTCTGTATTGCTTCAAGTATTCTTTGAAGGGTTGGTTTTGTGGACATATATTCTTTCAGGCTATTTGTGTCATGGAAGAGTTTTCTTTCCCCCTTAACTATAATAGACATTTTTGCTGGGTAAAGTATTCTGGGCTGGCATCTATTGTCATGTAGAACTGTAACTGAAAATACTTTGGTCCAGGCTCTTCTGGCTTTCATGGTTTGCATTGATAAGTCAGCTGTAATTCTGATGGGCTTTACTTTGACTTTCATGTGACTTGTTTTTCTTTTGCTGCTTTCAGTATTCTCTCTTAGTGTTTTTACTATGATATGTTGTGGGGAGTTTCTTTTCTGATCCTGTCTATTTGATGTTCCGTGTGCTTCCTGTATTTGTATGGGGATGTTTTTCATTAATTTTGTGAAATTATCTTCTACAATCCTTTCAGTAGTCTCTCTTTTTTCTGTACAGTTAGTGTTTTTACTATGCTATGTCGTGGGGAGTTTCTTTTCTGATCCTGTCTGTGTCCCACATCTGTTGCATATTCCATTCCTGTGTTTTTTAATTTTCTATACTCTTTGCTTGAGTGGTCAATTCTTCAACTTTGTCCTCTAGTATTGATACTCTGTTTTCCATTTCATTCATTCTAGAGGTGAGGCTTTCCCCTGTTGTTTCAAGTTGGCTTATTGAGTTTTGCACTTCCTTCTTCATTTCTCCCTGAGTTTTCTTCAATGTTTCTCTCTCTTTTGTGAATTTATTCAGAAGTTCATTCTTATCTTCTTTTAGCTCTTTGATTTGTTTGTTCGTGTGTTCTTTAAATTCATTTAAGTCCTTGATCGTGTTTATGATTGTTCTTTTAATTTCAGTGTCCTGGGTTATCTCTAAGGGGTTCTCCTTGTAGAACTCTTTTAAAGGATTGGTGGGCTTTGCTGGGGACATAGTGTTTAGGCTTTCCATTTTATTATTCTTTCATTGTGGTTTTGGCATGTGAATTTCTTTTGTTGTTTATGGTTCTGATATGAGAATTAAGTTGAAGTATGCTTCTGTTTGTATTGTCTGGGTGCCTAGATCCTTTCTTTATTGGTTATGTAAAGCTGGTTGGTACAGGGTTCAGGTTCTCTCAGGTTTATTTTGGAGGGAACTGATGGCTTCAGATCAGCTGTTTAGGGGTACCCACAGAAGCCGATTTAGGTTCCAGTCAGGTACACTCAGGCTTCCTTCACCACGTGGAGGCAGGATCCAGGTTCTCTCAGGCAGTCCTGTGTGTTGTCATCCGTATGCCAGAGGGAGGCCAGAGGGGGGCCAGAACTTGGCACTGTCTGGCAGTCTGCTGAGATCCCAGCCTTAACCTACCAAAGGCAGATCTGTCCTGGGTCTTTGGGAGGGGTCTCACCAAATCCCAGGTAGGGGAATGGTATGGTGCAATTAGGGGGAGCTTACCACCATGTGGAAGCAGGATCGGGGGATTGTCAGGCTGTCCCCTGAGTTCTCAGGCCCTTTGATAGTTGGAGGCCAGAGGGAGGCCAGAACCTGGCACTCTCTGGTGGTCTGCTGAGCTCCCGGCACCTACTGAGAGTCCCGAAATTATTAAAGGAACTCACTTATTAGCTCATCTATAAAGTTTCTCTGACACCACACTTTGTGCTCTGTTTTCAAAAGGCGCCTCTTGCAGATGGGAGTTTATAACTGCCAGCTTTTTAACAACCTGGGGCTGTGCTGCTTCTATGCCCAGCAGTATGACATGACTCTAACCTCATTCGAACGTGCCCTTTCCCTGGCTGAAAATGAAGAGGAGGCAGCTGATGTCTGGTATAACCTAGGGCACATAGCTGTGGTATGTTTTTTGTTTGTTTTGGCTTTTTGGCTCTTTGTCGTTTGTGTGTGTGTGTGTGTGTGTGTGTGTGTGTGTGTGTGTGTGTGCGTGCGCACTGTTATGAAACAGGTAGCCATAAGTTCATTTGACCTTATTTTCAGATATCATAAACCTAACTGACAATTTAGAGATTTGCAGGAGTCACTGTAAGTCATTTTACATCCCCAAGTTAAATGCAATTATACAGAACTATGCTTGAGTCCTATGATTGGTATTTGTTTTTTTCTATGTAATTGGAAAGGTCTTTCTGCAAGTGGAGGGAGGAGGCAGCAGAAGGAAGCAGACAGCTCTGAGTGTGTGAACGTGCGGTTTTCTTTGCAGGGAATAGGAGATACAAACTTGGCCCATCAGTGCTTCAGGCTGGCTCTGGTCCACAACAACCACCATGCTGAGGCCTACAACAACTTGGCCGTGCTGGAAATGAGGAAGGGTCACCTCGAACAGGTCACAGCAAGAAGCCTGCTTTCTTTCTTTTTTATTTAATTTAAAAAATTGTTTTATGTGTATGAGCGTATTGCCTGCATGTGTGTTAAGTGCACCTGTGTCATGCAATGCCAGGGAAGTTCAGAAGAGCGCGTCAGATCCCCTGGAACTGGAGTTATGAATGGGATGGTTGTTAGCTGTCATGTGGGTGCTGGGTATTGAACCCAGGTCTTCTGTAAGAGTAGCCAGTGCACTTAACTGCTGAGCCATCTCTCCAGCCCCCAGTCTGCTTTCTTTAGGGAAGCTGTTGCACTTAACTCTCAGTATGTGTTGACTTTAAAGTGAGCTCTAGAGTTGGACAGCCTTGGCTCTGAGTCCCAGCTCTGTCACATATTATCTGTGTGACCTTGGGCAAGTCACTTCATCTTTCTGAGGCCAAAATGGAACATTTGGTTTGACAGGAACAATGCACACCTCCATGGTCTTCCTTCCCTGAAGTGCACTGTCTCCCCCAGCCATCCTGGAAGCCACCCTTTGAACTGCTCTTCTCTTCCTTCCTCTCCCTCCCCACCACCCCTGCACCCACATCATTCAGCAGGCCCTGTCAGTCCTAGCTCAACCTGGCCCCTCTTCTCTACCCCACAGTCATATCTTTCCTGGACAATTCCAGGTGCCTTCTAACTAGTCCCCCCCATAAAATACAGTCTCCTCAGAATAGCCCAATGGATTTTGTTATAAAATAATATTTTATTGCTGCTTTGCTTAAAATCTTCCAGTTCCATCTCTGCATTTGCACTAAAACTGAGCATTTTAGCTATGGCCTGTGAGTCTATATGTCATCTAGTCTCTGCTTTGAGATTGCTTCCCTCGACCTCCTTTCTTGCTGATTCCAGACACATAAGCTGCCTGCTGCTCTGCGGATACACAGTGCTTCCTCTCCCTGTAGGGCCTTCCCAGAACAAGTTGCAATGACAAGTTTCCTTTCATCACTCAAATCTAAAGTACCATCTCTTTAGAAAGGCCGTCCGATTATCAGCCTAGAAGAGGCCTCAAGGACTAGCATATCTTTTGCTTTACTTCTCATTTTGCCAGACATTGATGTGTAGAATGCAACCTGTCAGCTGCTTGAAAGCGGGGACTTCACTTTTCAAGTCCCTGCTGCAGTTTTAGCATCAGGAACAGTGCCTGGCACATAGGAAGTGCTTAGTCTGTGTTTCTGAAGGTGCTAGGGAGATGGAGCACTCAGTCAAGTGACTGAATTCAGATGCTCAGCACTTAAAAAGCCAGTGCAGCATATATCTGTAATCCCAGATGTGAGCTGGTGTGTGTGTGTGTGTGTGTGTGTGTGTCTGTCTGTCTGTCTGTCTGTCTGTGTCTGATGTGTGTATAGACAGGCAGATCCCTGGGGCATGATAGCCAGCTATTCTAACCTGTGAGAGACCCTGTCTCCAACATAAGAGGGAAAGCGACTGAGGAAGACATGTCAAACTCTGGCTTCCACATGCACACACACACACACACAAACATACACACACACACACGCATACATACCCACACATGCTACTGTTTCTGTAGTAGACAAGTGGTGTGCAAATAGAAAATACTAGCACTCATTGGTGCTTTGTGAGGCTTCAAGCATGGCAGAGAGCACTTGTGTCATTGAAGTGTGACGCTGAGCACGGGGAGGCTGCCTGATGAGCTGTGCTGTTGTATACACAGACAAAAATAAAAGTGGAATGTACAGTACTCATAGTACTAATGACAATTAAGATAGTTGTATACACAGCCAAAAATTAAAAAACGGAATATACTCTCATAGTACTAATGACCATTAAGGTAAATATTACACTTGCCATGTTGGAGGTGAAAAAAATGGAGACTTGAGAGTAGGTAAGTAACTATTCAACCTCCCAGACACAGCAGCATGCTGTGTTCAATTTAACAAGGATAGAAAATAAAGCTAACTTCATCTCACAAATCCTCCCAGCGTAAATAAGGTGAGTTTGTATTTTATAAACTTAGCCATTCTAAAATGGATGGTGGTGTTACAAAACTTTTCCCTGTGTCCTTACAGCAAATGGTTTGGGGTTGGCTGTCTCCATTTGGTAATTTTCTGTCTCTCCTGCTTTATGCAGATCCACTAAGGTACAATTGATTTGAAACTTTTCTTTAAATCTATTTATTGTGTCTGTCTGTCTCTCTCGCTCGCTCGCTCTGTGTCTATGTGTGTGTGTGTCTATGTGTCTGTATGTGTGTCTGTGTGTTTGCACCATGGCGTGTGTGAAGGTCAACTTGGAGGAGATGGTTCTTTCCTTCCACTATATGGGTTCTGAGGATCAAACTCAGATCATCAGGCTTGGCAGCAAACACCCTTGACCCTCTAAAACCATCTCACCAGCCCGTAGATTTTAAAGGTTCTATACTGAAATTTTGAAGTGGAATCTAGCACCTGCTATCTTATATGAACTAATATCCTCTAGACTTCCATTTAAAAAGTGATATGTGAGTTTGTCCTCAGGGTCATGGATACAAGTTGTGGTTTAGCTAGAAGTTGGAGGGCTGTCCAGCAGTTCATGTGGTGCTCTGTGGCATACATCTCATGCTGTTCCATGGTCTCTGCAGCACATGACCCATGAGTGTGTAATAGCAATTTTATGTTTTGAGTGCTTTAGGGAAAGCTCATCTTCCCCTGATGGGGACTCATTTAGCAGCTGGTCAGCAGTCTAATACGTGCTTGCTTACTTTTGTCCAATACAGACCTCTGGACTTTGAGATTATTAGAGAACAGATAGAGTGTCCAAAATCAGTCATCAACAACAGAACTTAAAGAAGGCTCTTTTAAACTTTGAGACTATTAAATTTCAAGTTGTGTCTCATACTGAAATATAAACTTTATGAAGCAGTAGCTCTCAAATTTTAAATCTATCCTAAGTTTTCAATTCTGTTTCCTCTTTTGAAATACGTATTGTTGGCATAATTTGGTGAGGTATCAGAAGTGCATTCTACTTCATGAAGTCATTGCATTCCCTGAGGAATGTCATCTGGATTTCTCATAGGATCCTATTTATTAAGGACCTGACCCAGGTAAGAGTTTCCTTTAACCTAAAGAAACCACAGCTATAGTCCTGAGTATACTTATCTCTTTTTTCCCCACAGGCAAAGGCACTGTTACAGACTGCGTCGTCTTTAGCACCCCATATGTATGAGCCACATTTCAATTTTGCAACAGTCTCTGATAAGGTATTTTCTTTCCTTATGAATTCATTATCTGATGCATTTCTTGATCTCCCTCAGTTTTAAAAATATGGGTAAATGCAGCATTTTTAACCTTGCCTTTCTGCACAGAAGTTGATTTTTTTACACTTTTTAAAAACTTGTAGCACAAATATCTTTACTTCATGGGATCACTTAATAAACTTCATCACTGGGTATTGACTAAATGCCATTACAGATTACAGAAGAAGGGGGCTGAAGAGATGGCTCAGCAGTTAAGAGCACAGACTGCTCTTACAGAGCACCTGGGTTTGAGTCCTCTCTTATTTTTTTTCTTGCCCTTATTCTGGTGTTTCTTGCAGATTGGAGATCTACAGAGAAGTTATGTTGCTGCTCAGAAGTCTGAAGCAGCATTTCCTGAGCACGTGGAGACACAGCATTTAATTAAACAGTTAAAGAAGCACTTTGCTATGCTCTGATTGGCCCTTGGACCAAGTATCTTCTTATGAAGGGTTATTGCATAAGGGGAGAAAGTAGTTTGTGTGTTTATACTAATAGTATGATGTATGATATACAGACCTGGTCAAGTTTCATATGAATTTAAACCAGAATGTATAGTTTTTATAAGATACTATTATAAAAATTTAAGTGTTTCCTGCTTTTGTGTTTTCAGTTAAAACACATTGTGTATATTCATTTGTCATAGCAGGACATTTCCATACAAGTATGTGATATATTGAGCACCTCCCTCACTCCCTCCCCCCTCCCATTTGTCCCCTTTCTTCCCCACAGCAGCTCCACTTCTGCTCCCACTTCATACGTACACAAATGATTTTGTGTCTGTATAAGATCTAGGAACTGAAAATGACAGAAAACGTACAGTATCTGTTGTTCTGAAACTGGCTTAATTTTTGAGAGAGAGAGAGAGAGAGACAGAGAGACCCCCTTACTGTTTAGTCCAGGCTGGCCTTCTGGCCTTGAATGTGTGATCTTCCTGCTTCAGCCTCTTGAGTGCTGGGATTACAGACAGGTGCCACCATGCCCAGCTGACTTAAGGTTTCTAAGTAGATAACAAAACCTCTCACTTTATATGATGGCTATTTGTATGTAGTTGTTAAACATTTTAGTGAGCTTCCTCCAATTTTTTTGAATGTATATTTTAAAAATCTTTAAGCATTAGCTGTAAGATAGCTTAAGAAGTTGGAAATTGTCCTTTAAATTTTACTCTTCTGGCTGATAGTGCGTGCATTTATCACACGGGCTTTATTAGAACTTTAAAAATTATATTTTAAGGGCCAGGAGTGGTGGCACACACCTTTAATCCCAGCACTTGGGAGGCAGAGGCAGACAGATCTCTGTGAATTTGAGGCCAGCCTGTCTACATAGTGAGTTTCAAGTCAGCTGGGGCTACAGGGAGACCTGTCTCAAAAAGACCAAAAAAAAAATTTTTTTTTAACTATTTTTATCAGAAACTTTTCTTTATATATTGTACTTTAAAATAAATCAGTATGCAAAACATCATCTTATCATTTTTCATGAGTCTTGTTTCATTTGTCTTAGATAACATAAGTCCATTAATCTTATAAATTAAGCCATTATTTTAAGTTCTCTGATGCACCACCAGTTTTTGGCTAACACATGTCTGAAATGGCCTCTGGTTCATATCTTGACAGAAATTAACCCAGAATGAATGGTAGGAAAATTTATAACCTATATGTATAAATGTTTAGAAGAAACAATATGTATAAGTTTGGGTTATACAATGATTTCTTAGCTGAAACACTAAAACCACAATCCAAAAAACAAAAAGATTAATAAATTTAACTGTATGAACATTAAAAACTTTTGTGCTTCAAGACATTGTAAAGAGAGTGGAAAGAGCCAGGTATAGTGGCAAATGCAATTAGTCCCAGCAGTAAGGAATCAGAGGCAGGTGGATCTCTATGAGTTCAAGGCCAGCCTGGACTATGCTGGTCTATGTAACATAGTTTCAGGACAGCTAAGGCTACACAGTGACACCCTGTCTCAAAAACAAAAACAAAGCAAAGATAAGCCACCAGCTGGGAGAAAATACTCTTTTTTAAAAAAAAATTTGCTTTTTTTAATTGTATGTGTAATATGAGTGCTCTTAACTGCTGAGCCATCTTTCCAGCCTTAGAGAAAATATTCTTAAATACAGTATGTATTTAATAAATGACTTTCATTAAGAATGTAATGCAAAACTCACTAAAGAGGCTGAAATGATGGTGCATGTCTGTAATCCCAGCACTAAGGAGGTTGAGGTAGGAGGATCATGAGGTTGAGGCCAGCCTGGGCTACAAAGCATGACCCTGTCTTGAAAAAAACAAACTACAAGGGGCTGGAGAGATGGCTCAGTGGTTAAGAGCACTAGCTGTTCTTACAGAGGACCCGGGTTCAATTCCTAGCACCCACATGGCAGCTAAAAACCATCCCTAACTCCAGTTGCATGGGATTCTGATGCAGGCATTGCATGACACAGGTGCACTTACACACATGCAGGCAATACACTCATACACATAAAATAAAAAAAAAAAAAAAAAAAAACTTTGTAAGTAAAAAATAGATAAGTGACTACTTTATGAAAGAAGCCAAATAAAATGCAAATACACACATGAAAAGATGCTCACATTGTAAGTCATTAAGAAAAAGTAATTTAAAATCAAATTAGAATGGCTAAAACTTTAAAATGGACCATACCAAATGCTGGCTAGCATGTGGAACAACTGAAAGTAAAAAGTGTTCATTCATAAGATATGGGCATAAATGTACATAGCCGATTTATTTGTAAAAGCCTTAAACTGGTGACATTCCAAAGACTTATTCACATGTAAATGGATAAATTGTAATTCAGCCACATAGTGGAGTACTATTCCGCTGAAAAAGGAGTGAGTTACTGATATCACACACAAACATGAACGAATATCCAAGTGTTATGCTTTGAGTAAAAGACCAAGCAAAACAGAGAGTATAGTGTATCATCTCCCTTATATAAAGTTAGAGAAGATGCAAACTGGCCAATTTTGACAGGATCAATGGTTGACTGCCAAAAGAGGGAAACATGAGAAAAAATTTTGGGGTGATGGATAAGCTTATTAATGATGGTGATAGCTTTACCCATGTATACTCATGTCAGTTTTAACACATGTTGTATTTTATGAATTTATGTATATAAAATTTATATTTATATGAAACTTATTGTACATCAGTTATGCCTTAATAAAATTGTTTTTAAAAAACATCTCTATACTTTTACCAAAAGTCAGTTTGACTATATGCAGATTATTGCTCAATAGACCCGACTTACATATTGTTCTGATATTCGGGCTGGAGAGATGGCTCAGCAGTTAAGAGCACTTGCTGCTTGCTGCTCTTCCAGAGGACCCAAGTTTGGCTCCCAGCACCCATGTTGGGTGGCTCACAGTGTCTTATAACTCTATCTCTAGGGAGTCTGAGACCCTCTTCTGGTCTCTGCGGGTACCCCCAATACATGTGGTACAGACATGTACACACACACACACACACACACACACACACACTGTTCAGGCGCTCAAGTTAACTGACATAGCATGCTATTTTTACAGGCACCGTGTTATAAAAGTTTGGAATCTCTATAAATGGTTCTTGTATGAAAGAGGCATTGAGAACATACAGAGAAAATTGTTGAAGTGTCTTGCCTTGAAGAATCAGAATTTTGACAAGAGAGGAGATCGAGGTTATGGAGAGGCATCCCAGGTCAGGCTAATGGTAGACATAATCAGCAGCCACTAAGAATGAATTTGATTTCATGGGACTTGAACAATAGCAGGAGTGGGCTGGTCAAGAAAGTGAACTTTGGTGAGCTTGGAAAAAACTAGAATATAGACATTTTGAATCCCAAGTTGAGTTGAAGTTTTACTTAAAACTCAGAGGAAGCAGGAATTTTGTAAGAATCGATCTGGAGGTACTGTTTAAAATCAAATGGAAGGGGGCTGGTGAAATGGCTTAGTGGGTAAAGGTGCCTGTTGCTAAGCTTAATGACCTGAGCTCAATCCCTGGGACCCACATGGTGGAAGGAGAGAACTGACTCCAGTAAGTTGTCCTCTGACCTCCACAACATGTATTCAAAAGCATGTGCACCTGTGTGTATGTGTACACACACACAAATTGATAAATGTAAAAAGATTAGGTAGAAGGATATAAAATTTAAATCACATTTTCTAGGAAGTGTATGAAAATGAATTTATATATACCAGATAATGAAATTTTAGCCGCATGGCTTGTTATTGATCAGATAATTCATGCCACTGCTCTGCTTTGTCACACCCCTTTCTCCGCCTGGCTAAAAAAGATTTTGCCTGGATAGTCACAGCTCATGCAAAGAACATGGACTCTGGCAGATGGCACCTCGTTAATTACAGCTTGCAACAAATAGTTTTCTCAACAAGGTTGTCTTATCTCCAAATGCAAGACTACTTAGTAGATAGGTGATGTTTTTAACATTTAATTGGGAATTGTGGAGAAACAAAATACGAATATTTACCCCAGGCTGCCCTTTTCTCCCTAATGTTGCAATGCTCAAAATAACATGTGAAACTGTCGTCATTGTGATAGATGTTGAAGTTGAGAACCACTTCGACAAATGGTTTCTAAAAGCTTTTACCTCTAAATCTCCTAAAAGACACCACTGAAGCTCCTTCAGGACGAAATAAAGGTAGCCTAAGTGTCCCTGTAGCTGTCAGAGAGACTGTCTATTACTATAACCGCAATGAACGGTGTCCTGTACAATTCCAACAGCTGTCTTGGGTTCCTGAAAAAGAGGACTTTAAACAGAAGGATCTGGGCCATGTTTGAGGATCTTTGTAAAATACTTGTAAGCAGGTAAAGATAGTGCATCATAATAGCAAGTAACTATTGCACATTAAGTACCTGTTTATAGTTTTACAACTCTGCTAGTTATGGTTTCCATGTTGGCAGTGGTAACATCAGAAAGGCTGCATGATCTGCTTAAGGTCTGCACAGTGAACAAGAAGCTTAGCATCTAGCAGTGGTTAAAGAAGAGTAGGACTCCTTCCTCATAAATCAGATAAGCAGAGACGTTGACAGGGAGAAATGGTCCACAAATGAGTGACGTTTCCCACCAGAATATGGGTCCTGATGTTTCCACAATTATACAGGTCATAGTGTGCTTTCATCATCCCTGATACTGTTAGCAGTCAGTGAGGCTGTTAGTCCAGCGATGTGTTATCCCAGTCTTACAGGTGAGAGAACGTAAACTCTGAAGAAGTAAAACAACCCACCCATCTTCATAAAACTGGAAGAGACATAGTAGGAACTTAAATTAAGTCTTCTATTCCCCTATGGCATCAGAGACTTTCTGCTTCTCTAACCACACAACTTGTTAACAGTGTGGAGACAAACTGAAAGTCAAAGTTGGATTTGCCAAACTGGCCGGGAAAGGGGAGACCTGTGAATAGTCTCCTCCAATAATACAACATCTTACACGTCTTAGATGAGTTGAGTCTTAGCATGTGCATCAGTTGCAAGAAAGTGGGAGAAAATTCTGATGGTCTGGGACAGAAATGGACTGTGTTACTCGACTCTGTATTCTGACTTACCCAGCCTTATAGTGGCCTTATTTTGGTTTGAAGGTCTCCAATGGAATCTCAGGCTGAAAAAAACACAACACAACAAAAACAAATCTCAAGAACTTTCATTGAAAAGAACATACAATCTTCATACTGTTTTTTATACTGACATTGATTCCCCCAGAAAGGGTTCTTAGTGTTATATCCTTGAAGCTGGTTAAACAAGCAGCTTTCTCGGGTCTGCAATGATTTTCAGGAGCAGGAGCAGGTGAGGGGACAGAGCTGGAAAAATCTGAGGCATCCAGGTCACCATCCAAGGAGTCCACTGTAAACATGAAATTTGAAGCTAGAGTCTTCTGCCTTTTCTACTTAAAATAACCATGTGAACCTTTCAAATAATCCCAGAGAAAGTCTCTATTTCTTTTAATATAAAATATGCTCCTTGCACACTCATATATAGTGCTGTTCTAGGACAAGGGCCAATGTTTTAGCTGGTACTTTTCCCAGTAGTGTCCACAGGCAATGTTTCTGTCTTCTCAGCTGTAGGGAGAAGAAACAAGCTCCCCACCTTTATCTGTCCACTTCCCCCTTTGGCTTACCTTAATGCTTTTCACCCTGCGTACATGTAAGGCTTCAAATGGACCCAACTGCAGCCATCTTAAGGACCATGGTGCTCCTGAGTGACCCTGGTCAGCTTTACATAGATAGCTTCCCAGTATGCTATAAATAGAATGTTCTGTGGAGTTTCACAACCTAGATCCTGGACCCATCAGCACCAGATATGTGCCCAGTGTCTTTTGGTATTAGGTGGAGATGAACCAGGTCCATTTTGGCTTGGATGAAGTCCTTTCTGTCCTGACCACTCCTTGTCCCCCTTCTGATCCAATTCATGAAATTCTACTCTGTGAGATACACTCTGTGAAATCCTTGGTTTGTCTGCCTCTTTCTT